CAGAGATTGCCAATCTCTGACAGCTCTATTCATTCCTCTACTCCTTTCCAGCTTGTTCATATTGACATCTGGGTCCATACAATACTTTGACCTATAATGGGTTCAGGTATTTTTTGACCTTGGTGGATGACTTCTCCAGAGTCACTTGGACTCATCTATTGTCATGCAAGAGCAATGCTCTTTCTGTGCTTAAGGCTTTTCATGCAATGGTGAAAGTTCATTTTCACTCAATTGTCCAGTCTTTTAGGCCTGATAATGCTTATGAGCTAGGCTCTAGCTCTGAAGCCCAATAATTTTTTTTCTGCCAATGCCATTCTCCATCAAACTAGTATCCCTCACACTCTTCAACAAAATAGAGTGGTTAAAAGAAAACACAAACACCTATTGGAAGTATCTAGGGCTCTTTTGTATCAATCTAAAATTCCCCTCAAGTATTGGGGTGACTGTGTTCTCATAACCACTTATTTGATCAATAGATTACCTTCCACTGTCCTTCATAACATTTTCCCTTTTCAAAAACTGCATGGTTATTCCCTATTTTTTTGATCATTTGAGGTCTTTTGGGTGCCTTTGCTATGCTACTAGCCCCAAGCATGGCATGAATAAATTCAAACCTAGAGCCATCTCTTGTGTGTTTTTGGGATACCCCTGTGGGAAGAAGGGTTATAAGCTTCTTAATCTTTCTACCCATCCTGTATTCTTTTCTAGGGATGTGTTTTTCCATGAACACATTTTTCCTTACCGCCTTCCTCCTTCCTCTTCTTTCCCTTCTCCTCACACTGATTTTGTTGATTCTGATGTTCCTCATATTGCCTCTCCTCCTCCAACACCTTGTACCTCTTCTCCCTTGATTCCTCCTACCAATACTTCTCCACCAGCCTCTCCTCCTCTACCACCTTCATCTTTTGGTTCTCCTCCATCTCCCCCTCTTCCTGATCTCAGGCAGAGTTATTAACCCACCAGCATACCTATCAGATTTTGTTTGCTCCTCTGTTCTTCCATCATCTTCCCCACCTGTCTCTCAGAATTATAAGGTTTCTACCTCTCTTTTGCACATGCTTGACCCTCAATATTACCAGCAGGTTGCATCTAATCCTGCTTGGCAAGAGGCCATGCTACAGGAATTCCAGGCTCTTGAGACAAATCATACATGGGACATTGTCCCTCTACCTTCTCATAAGAAAGCCATTCCCTGCAAGTGGGTGTATAAGATTAAGCAGAGGTTTGATGGCTCCATTGAGAGATACAAGGCCAGGCTTGTCATTAGGGGTGATACTCAGAAGGAGGGTATTGATTATACAGAGACTTGCTCTCCAGTTGTCAAGCTCACTACTGTTAAGTGCCTCCTTTCTTTGGATGTCAAGAGACATTGAACTGTTTTTCAGCTTGATGTCAATAATGCCTTCCTTCATAGGGATCTCCATGAGGAAGTGTATATGAGGATCCCCCTGGTCTTCAGATCTCTTCCTCTACTTCTTCTACTACTTCTTCTTTGGTTTGCAAACTCAGGAAGTCCTTATATGGCCTTAAGCAGGATTCCAGGCAGTGGTTTTCTAAACTGTCTGATGCCTTGCTCTCCAAAGGATACATTTCCAGTAAGAATGATTACTCCTTATTCACCAAGTCTTCTGGTGCTTCTTTGGTCATCCTTGTGGTCTATGTTGATGACATTTTTCTTGTTGGTTCTGATATTGCTGTAATGACTGCTTTAAAACAGTTTTTGGATGATCAATTTAAGATCAAAGACCTTGGTTTGGTTCATTATTTTTTGGGCCTTGAAGATTCCTCCCATTCTGATGGTTTTATTTTGCATCAACACAAGTATACTTCAGACTTGTTGGAGGAATTCAAGTGCTCTCATCTTTCTCCTCTTTCCACCCCTTTGGACCCTTCTATTAAGTTGACTGTTGACATAGGTGACCCTCTCCCAGACCCTAGTCTTTACAGAAGACTAGTTGGCAAGCTGAACTTCTTGCAACATACCCGGCCTGATATTGCTTATTCTGTTCAGCATTTGAGTCAATTTCTACAGACTCCCAGGGTCCCTCATATGTTGGCTGCCCTGCGTGTCTTGAGATACCTTATGTCTGCACCAGCTCGGGGGATTCTATTGTCCAATGCAGCTGATCTATCTCTTGTTGCTTTTTCTGATTCTGACTGGGCCACTTGTGCTTTCTCAAGGAGGTCTGTCACTGGATTTTTTATTACTCTCGGTGGCTGCCCCATTTCTTGGAAGAGCAAGAAACAGCCTACTATTTCACTTTCCTCTGCTGAAGCAGAGTATAGGGCTTTGAGAAAGGTCGTGGCTGAAGTGTCTTGGCTTGTTCGACATCTTGGTGATCTTGGACTTTCTATTGCTGCCCGTGATAGCCATGATGCTTTACATATTGCTAAGAATCCCGTATTTCATGAGCTCACAAAGCACATTGATGTGGATTGCCATTATGTCCGCGATTATCTCTCTTCTGGGCTGATTTCTCTTTAGTTTGTTCGTAGTTCTGATCAGCTAGCAGACATTATGACTAAGGCCTTGCATGGTCCCCTTCATCATTCTATCTTGGGCAAGCTAGGAGTGTTTTCACCCTCCAGCTTGAGGGGGGTGTTAACGAGAGCCCATCTCCAAGCCCAATAATAGCTGATACCCAGCAGCCCACTTAGCTTTATTACAACTTTTATTTCTTACATTTTAGTCCATGTATTTTTTACTAATAGCTCATATATATATAGTAGGAGAACTATCTAGAAAGGGATCAGATTCATTTTTATATCTTCTGTACATTTTCCGATGAAATAAACTCTCTCTTCCCTCTTTCTATTTTCTAGGGTTTTCTTGTGTAAAATCCTTTCTCACAGCTCGATTTCTTACACTAACAAGAGCAAAGGTATACCACTAGGCCAGAAGGTTTAGCTGTTTTCAGCTATCTTAAAAACTATATATACATCTACATATTACTGTAATAGGTTTCCTGAATCATCATCTATAACAAGAAATAAGTTTGGACAAGTAGCTAACCATTTTGTGCCAAATGGCAAAGAGCAAGTTCAATGTTAGAGATGGTTATCAACCATCTTAGAACACCATCATCCATTAGAGTAGAACGGCCTTTCCTATGTCCTGGAAAAGCAATACAAGTCAAGAGCATATTAACAGGAAAAACAGTAATTACATCCATGTCTGAAGCATGCAAACCTTGAAATCTATGCAATAACCAAAATAAAAACCTAATGCCATTCACCTCAAAAGCACATATTTAGGAAAGATATTTTGCAAGTTTGCAATCTAATTTCATGGCTTTTTGTGAAGTCGCAAGAGGTAATTCAGAGTATGTGCCCGGCAAAAGAACGTACCATCCTTTTCAATTACCATTCCAATAAAGATTTATATCTGTTTGACGCTTTGAATACAACTCAAAAGTTAGTTATACAGACATTCAGCTGCAAGATTGGCTGCCACTTTAATTTGTATATTGTTTCATATCAGATGTTAACTCTAACCAAGGTTTATAATTGACAAGGAACTCCCATGGTAACACTTCTTCACTCGCAGTCTCAGGCACAAGCTTCTTCATATTAAACAGCTCATTTTCAACAGCTTTCCTTTGCTTTTCCTCGATTACAAGTGTTTTCGTTATGCAATGCTTTCTAACGGATCATGTTAAGGAAGCAAAGATTATTATAAGTCACTAACAGAATTTACGTTTTTTGTTTATTCAATAGAATGCAAATCTTGGGTTGAGACTTGAGAGGGAAGGTGGCCATTGTAATATAATTTAAGTATATAATCAGAGCCTTGAGGGGTGGTCAACGTTAACATACCTTTTCAGATAGTAGAACCTGATATTCTGTTTGTTTTTAATGTCTCAAATTCCTCCGGCCCTCAGTATCTTTAGTTATTAATCTACTTGCTAGTTAATTAGTTAGACATAAGAATCTTAATATTTATAACATTCTAAAAATTAGTTAAACATAAGAATCTTAATATTTATAACATTCTAAACAGTTGTAACTAAACCTTGAAGAATCTTAATATTTATAAAACTTGAATACAATTCTATTTATAACATTAATATTAAAGTAATAATAAAAAAGAGTAACGATAAATTTGTTACAAATTCATAAATGTACTATTCTACTTAAGTTTTATTGAGCTTTAATTATAAAATTCATAATAAGATATTTAGCTAAGTGTTTTATCAATTTAAATATAATAAAAGAATTATATGCATAGAGGAGAAATTAAAAAGGTCCAGGGTAAAATAGACAATGCATATGATAGGGGAGCAGAATATTTATTTTTTAATGTTGGAGGAGGAGTTTGAAATTTAAGGCAAACTAAGAGGATCAAAATGATTTGCAGATAGAAAATGAAAATTGTTAAACGCTTCAGCGAAATAAAGTTAATATTGCAATATTTGTAGGGAGGGTACTGTATCATCAATCATGTTGCCACTTTCGTCGAAATTCTATGGATATTGTTTAGCATCTTTTTCTCCTACCGACGGAGTTCTGAATGGATGCTGCTCTCAAATTTTTCAGTTTCATTTTGAAAATGTTTAATGATTTTGCATACCAAATAGTGCGAAGTGATTTCCAATTCTTCAACTGTCCAATTCATGGTATTCTCTGGCCTAAGTATAGACTTCTTACCTAAACCAACGGGGAGGTTATCAGTCTCATTCAAAAGGTGGACTACCATTAAAAATTAATCAAGTAAAACAAAATTTACTCTATTGACTAACCCTTTCTGACATTTTAACTTTCACGTCCAGTCGTTTAGTAAATTGCATTCAAGCATAATGGAACATTTATCTTTATAAATCTCCGTACTAAGTACTAGAAAACGAGCATGAACCATCCGCTATCAAACTCAAGACACACATGCAGTCTGGTGAAATTCCGAAAACTATTGGTTGCGCAAAAAATACTATCACGCAGAAATAGCAGGCGTAGACATGTTTCATATTTCCATTCTAGATGATTTGGCATTCAGAGACCCCCCAAAACCAAATCAAACCAAACAATATGATGGCAAAAAGCGAGCAAACGCACAGTGCTAAGAATTGCGAGTCAGACTCTACCTTTCACACTCGAGATCACCAATCCTCCTGGTGTTCATCATTTTCTTTCCAATCGAGCAACAAACACCAAATGATCATATACACAAGATACCAGAGCAAGGGGTGAGAGAGAGACCTTTATGTTCACAGTCCACTGCTATTTCGCTCACTTATTACACATTCACTTATCTCACCTCAACCAAAATGAACAAACTAATTTTGAACTAATTATAACAGTTTCTGCAATCTCATATCGACTGTTATCATCTGCAATTAGATGTCAGCATCAAGAAAATTCCCAGAAAGCGTTACCTGCCAAAGCAGTGAGAGAGGTGTCATACTCAATTGTAATTTATCACACATCATAATGCAAACAAGAATATAATAATGAAATCAACCAGAGACTAGGGCTCTTCTCTCCCCAGGAATCATTATGCTCAGTGAAGAACATCAAGTGCAACAGCCATAACTGATCGCGTTGGATTAAATGGTTTCCCATTTCACAAAAAACAAAACAAAAAAAATCAAGCAACCAAATCATCAGTAGCATCAGTCTGATGCCCAAGGCCCCAATTATGTGCAATAAACAAATCTGGCTGTGACAATGAGATTCGCTCTCCTCCGGGATAATTAGACAAAATCTGGCTGTGATTTTTTTAATCCTTCTTTTTATAATGTATATTGAATTTTATTCAAAACTCAATACCAAGAGAACTTTTTAAATCCTCAAAAGAACTTTTTCTTTACATGGTAGTGACGACCATGAGACATAAGTTATTATTCTTAACCACCAACAAGCAAAACCCAATGAGATTTAACAACTGGCATCATTTCAAAGCCTTCCATAAATATAGTCCTAAATTTAGGATCCACTATCGGTTTTAAACAGGTCAACTGGGTCTGTTCATATTTTAAGACAGCCACATGTAAGATCCAAACAAAGCAAAGTAACAAATCAGAACTTCTAGTAAAAAAAAAAAATTTAAAAAAAGAAAGAATACTTGAGATGCCAATCATAAACCAGTTCATATTACCCTCCTCTTAATCAGGATTCTAACAAAGAGCAGAATCACAACTCAGTTGCTTGTCATCTAAATGCATTATTTCCATAAACAAATGATTGGTGAGACAAAAGCTTCAAAGAGGCAATCAGATTTTGGTCAATAATCAAAGGTTTCACTTTCATGTTCACCATAAATACTGGCATCATAACAATAAAATGTCAATACACATCGTCTTCATGTATACTGCAATCTTTTTCCTTAGGTAAGTAAGGAATATATAAATGTATATTTATTCCTGCATAATGAAACCTAGAGAAGGAAATAGAAAAATAGAGGGGAATAACTTGTTCTTGCCATGTACCTTTTCGCCTAGTTTGAACGGAGGAAGACCCTTATAAGGACACGTACTGCAACGGAAAGCATCACCTAGACCACACTGTCAACATAGAAGACATGTCCCAGAAAAAACAATTAACAAGAAGACTAATTGCAAAACTCAAAGGCTGATCAATGAAGGTAATAATCAAAAGAAAGAAACTAACTAGTTGTCCAGCTGTCTGCTAAATCACACTATAACACCAATCAACAACCAAATATACAAGTATATCAGTAGATGACAGTGCACTTGAAAATAGATTTTCAGTTTTCTGCAGAAACTACTCAACTAAAGTACTCCCTCCTATACACTCAAATTAGATGTACTAGCTTGACGACTAGTAAAGACATTAGCGTATGCACCTATTCAAAAATTTATTAGAAATTCAGAGTTGAATTGAGATAGTGAAAGGCAACTATCAGAATATATAGAGAGTAAATTTCGTAGAAAACCGCACAAAAATGAGCAGATTCTTTACTTTTGTATAGCCACCGAACAATTATTTTAAAAGGCTAAAAGTTAACACCATTCTGAATACTTCGAACAAAGAATTTTTTCATTCAAAGAGGTGCGTTATTTGAAAGGCTGAAAAATACGCCAGAAGTTTTGGAAGACGAGAGTAATCAACTAGTATAACAGAAATCAATATAGAAGGAGACATACACTGCCACAGGCTGACTGTGGATTGTTCAGCTGTTCCGCCGTTGGTCCAAGTTGCACTTTTGTTTCAGCTTCAGCCCTTCCGCACGTACAATTTTTGCATGCTTTCCTTGTCTTTCCAACTTCACAATCACCAACTGCACCACCAAGTGTACAACAAATTGAGTTCAAAATACTAATGGAGAAACTGATAATGCCAGAGTGAGGCAATCCCGGTGCACGTTATTACCACTTGGCAATTGAGGTTTCGTCAGATCTTCTTCACTGAGAAGGCTATCCTCATCAATGAGATCTGAATCATCATCAATCTGAACTTTCGGCAAACTTTTTGTGACTTTCTTGATAGAGAAGGATGAACCAACCTTCCATGAAGGTTTCTTTGCTGTTATCTGTTCAGAGATTAAATTAACCACACAATTTATTTGAGTCAAGATCAATAACTTCAGGGTTTTTTTACAACAACTATGTCTCAATCTCAAGCAAGTAGGAGAGTCGGGTGTTTGTCTATCCTCTTTGGGCCCAAATCATTCCATCGCAATTATTTATCTTTAAAACAAACATGGGTTCTCTACAACTAAGAGTCTCTAAATTTCACATGTATCTCTATAACACCATCATACATATATAGCCAAACTGAAGGACTCCTAAAACACCGGACTTAATCTAAGTGTTCCTATAATGACTAACTTCAAGGCTTCCTTAAATAACTTCAACATATGAGAGTGGTGCGACGATCAGTTGAAAACTGAATACAACAACAACATACCCAGTATGATCCCACAAGTGGGGTATGGGGAGGGGCGGGTGTACGCAGACCTTACCCCTACCTTTGTGGAGTAGAGAGGTTGTTTCCGATAGGCCCTCGGCTCAAGAAAAGCGTTTTTCAAAACACGTTTGAAAAATACAAGAGTGAAAAAGCTATGATGAAAATCCTATGAACAAAAAAGTAATGACAGCAAAAATAGTAAAGCTAGCTAAAGTAAAAGAAACATCAGTAGTTATAATATTGATGAGTAAGATATCTAAACCAAAGTAATTAGAATTTAGTTATGACTTCTCTAACACTAAATTTTTAATTTCCTATGCCTAGTCACTAAAATATTTATTCACCCGGTTTTCTTAACAGCTAAGTAATATAAATGAAATGTCTTTGTTGTTTAGTGTTGCTCTTTTCAGGATGGAGCCCAAGAGAGATGCTGCACATGTGCCTTAGTTCTTTGATGCCTGTGTTTTACCGCCGTTTAAGCAAAGACAAATGCCAGTCCGCGCAGCACCAAACTTCAGGGTTTAAGTACGACTCAAGTGAGCCTTTAACAACACTGCTTACATCATACTAACACAATCTCATATTCTGCAATAACTCAACTGCCAACTCCCAAAGGTTGTTTCAGAAAGAGTACAACTGACAGAAGCTACACTACAAGAAGCAATTTTAGACAAGAAACTTCTGTCAAAAAGTCAACAAGCCTTAAAAAGCCCAATCACTAAAAGGAAAAATCTAACAAGAGTAAAATAATTTTAATTATTTCTCCTAGAGCAACTTCAAAGCCCATCACTAAAAGGAAATATCTAACAAGAGTAAGATAATTTTAATTATTTTTCCTAGAGCAATTATAAACAAGAAACTTCTGTCAAAAAGTCACAAAGCACAAAAAACCCAGTGCCTGAAAGAAAAATGCTAACAAGAGCAAGATAAGCTTCATATATTAACAATGAAAGCATGTGCACAAACTGTAAAACTCAAGCAGCAGTGCAGCACAAAGTAACAAATTAGGACACAGACAATTAGGCCAAACAAACTCTAACTGAACATATTTATAAATTAATCTGGAATTATTTAACTTCGTGGGGAGAAAAATGTGAAAGCTAGTAAAAGGGTGTATTTCGGCTTCAACAAATTACCATTTTCCAAGCATAATTGATCTGCCACTTCAGGCCCATCATACAAGAGAGCTTTATCCAAGACCTCTACTTTCCAAGGAGAAAAAGGTCTTTTTGTGCATTCAAATTCATGAAACTTATGCGCCCCATACTTTGAGCCAGCACTATAACAAGATTGTTGGTATCCAATTGCTTCGACAGGATAGAAATTCGAAGGAAGTGAAAGACGAGGCAGAACTACAGCAATACCGTCCTTTGTGACCAAATACAAAAACCATGAAAACTACAACCTATAGCATCGTCAACTACAGCATCCCAACCGTGAATGCTATAGCAGCTCTCATCATTTACTGTCAAGTTTACATGTAAACTGGAATGAACAAGTTGACACTTGACATTTCCCTCAGAATATTTTCTCTTAACTAGCCGAGTGAGCCCAAAAGGAGAAAAACAAACAACAGCATCTTCTTTGGATCCATCTATACCAATGAAACCTTTTCTGCTATGGCATGAATGCGATCTACTACCAAAAATCTCATTCTTATTTACATCGGTAGCATCAGATAGGCTACTCCCATATGAGTCATACTTCCTTTCCCCATGTGTACTAGCAGTAAAAGAAGACTCTCTAATAATGGATGATTTACTTTGTTCCTTCCCACCGAAAAAATCAGAAAAGCCCTTTTGATAGCCAATTTCAGCGGAACCTACCTCCCAAGCAGCCAACATTTCATTACCCAACTGTTGATACTGAGGGTGTAATTTCTCAAGTGAACAGTACTTCTTTGGGATATGGTCATCCACATTTATTACATATGTTAAACCATATTCATCGATCACACAAAAAGTCAAGGAATGGGAAATGACAAAAATCCTTTTGAACCTTCTTCTACCAACATAATCTCCCTCCTGATTGATGAACTGACCACATTTCTTCTCTTCAATATGACTTTCTATCATCTTCAGAGATGAATTCTTTTGTTCTTGAGATACTAAGGAAGGAGAAACTCCACACACATTTAACAGATCTATACATGCTATATGTTCACCGGTTAATGCAACGCAAAAGGAGACTAAGCCAGAAACATTAAGACAAATAAGAAAAGCATGAGAAAACCTAAACTCTGGCCACTCAATTGCTGACCTTCCCTCGGGACATTTGCCCACTGTCACCGAGCAAACCCACTGCATTCCCCAATCAATTAACCTGGCCACTGCAACTAAAACTTTACAGCCTGCTCCATCATCTATATTTGTTGTGTTAATTTGAACATCTTTATTTGTATTTAAGGCAAACCCAATCACGCATTGTGCATCATTAGAAAACACACTGAAACATTTGTAAGAAGTGCTCATCTGATCAGGTGGAACAGTCCTACTTAGTCTAAATGCCTAGAGGCGCAAATTTGAAGTTGAAAACTGAATAAACTTCAAATTTTATCTAAATGTCTAGAGTTGCAAATTTGATGTCGCACAAATAACAATGAAGCAATGAGCATCATCATGCCATGAAATAGGTGTTATGCCAATTTAACTTCATCATATAAAAGGTGTTATGAGAATTTAAAATGGAAGAAGGAACTTAATAGTTCTCTGATAAAAGAATCATTGTATTGAAGGGGGTTGGAGGAAGACAGGAAGTTAAATAAAGGCACATGGATATAATACTAACCACGAAAGAGTGGCCAGCTTCAGATGACTGTGCATCAGAGAATCCAGCCAACAATAATGTGCGCTCATGGGTAGAATTTTCCTGCAATTCAGATGGAAAGGACAATTCACACATGCGTACAAATTTTCCACTAAAAAATACGCACAAAGGGAGGATTCAGTAACCTTCGAGATTAACTGAGAACTTAGACTAAGTAGGACTGTTCCACCTGGCTTCAACACTCTTGAGATGTCCCCACACAATTTATCACTAGGAAACTCGAGGGACCTACAGATGAGAGCAACGATATCCATAGAAGCAGACTTCACTGATGTCAGGCCTGTAATAACCAGAGGGAAAAGATTCAATATCACAAGAATCTAGGGCCACGGGGCAAGCACTTACAAAAGAGTGGTATTAGACACTTAAGCAGAGAGCACAGAAAAGGAAAAGGAAAAATAAAAATAAAGGAAGAAGACAAGCTCCCTTTCTATCCTAACCCACTTGGGAATTTATTATCTGCAGATGGTTCCCCACCCCTACACCCCTCTGTCTTTTCCTTTTGATCAGTAAAGTATTGGAACTGTATTGGATCAGGGCGATCTCTCTGTCTCGTTTCTCTCTGACATACCAATTTCATGTTTTCATCACATCATTACGGTGAAGAAGAGCTTTTTCCCTTTGTCTCAGAGTTAATAATCTAATATATGAAATAAGCAAGGGCTCTGGATGCTATACAATTAAGTAAATAAAACCCAGAACAAGAAAAACCATATAGTCCCTCTTTATCTTTTTGGTTTAAATTGGCTGGAACTTCTTTAGCTTCTTTCTTATTCAAGCAGCTTCCTCTTTTCCACCAATTTCCTCTTCCAATTTATTTTTTTATCAGTATTTTCACTTCCAATTTATCCAAACGGCTTCCTTGAGCTCATCTTTATCTCCAATAACTACCAATCAGAATCTTCCCAGAGGCTTCAAATTGCTGCCACTTGGACTCAGATTAACTGATATTGGTCCCTCAATTCTGATATTTGATCCGTACTAATTTACTTCTGAAACAAACAGCCGGAGATTTGATCCACACAAAGAAAGAGCTACATCACAAAAATAGACACAATTCTTAGATTATAATATTGCAATTCCAACACACTGATTCTCACCGCCTATTAATATAAACCTGACCACTTTATAAAAAATTCCTACCTTCTCTCTTTCATCATCAAATCCCAAAAACAAATTTGAAATAAAAATTTTCTGCATATAAAACCTCCGATAAACATAGCAACAAACTTTTTTTTTGATAGGTATGAACATAGTGATAAATAAATAAACATAGCAAAGGACTTAGAAAAAAGAATCCAACAACATAATAAAAACCACATAGACTAGTCATCAAAATGAGTCACTCGTAGTCACAGCATAAGCAGAGCAGAGAAGTATCAGTTCGGAGAATTTTTTTTTTTTTTTTTT